GTTGGCCTGGTGGGACGTGAAGCTGGTGTGGGGGATCATCAGAGATGGGGAGAAAATGGGCGATGGGGCTGGAGGTCGGACGGTGCTACAGGTAACTGGTTGCACCTGTATTGGGGGAGGCAAGGTCTGCTGCTCCACCACGAATCTGCCATGGGGAGGAAAATCAGGCGTGAGAACCCAAACCCAGACCCACCACCAGAGTGGGTGCTGGGGAGCTCAGCTGCTGCAGGGACCAGACTGGAACAGGGCTTGTCAAAGCATGCAGACCTGGCTGACAGCAGCCTCAGATTTCCCCCTCCCGACCAAGCATGGACTGGAATTGCAGCAAATTAAGGTTTCTAAGGCTGTACTTCTCCTCCATGTCTTGTTCAGCTATATCATGCTTTGCAAAAGCCAGAAATTGGTTTTTTTTCTTTTCAAAGCACTTTATTTATCATAAAGTTCTTTGGAATTAAAAAATATTCCCACTACTTTTTTTCTCCTAACAAGCTGAACTTTTGTTTCATATCACACTGAGACTCTTTGTCTTTGCACACTCAGGTAGAAGTTTTTCCAAGTCATTTTCAGTGCCATGAAGTGCCCTGCTAAAACACTGCAGGAAAATAAGGGCCAGCAAAGACTCACTTTCCTTGCTGCCTGCTGGCACTGCTCTGCAAGGGCTGGCCATTGCTGTTGGCTGCAGGCATCATAGCTTGGATGGACTGATCCAACAGCATCCTGTGGTGGAAGGAAAACAGAGGATGGTCAGGGAAGAGGGAAGTCCAAGCTCCGGTCAGTCTCTAGAAACAAATCCCTGAAAATCCTCCATGAAAGCAGGCAAACCACCACCTTGAAAACAAGCTAATGAAATAGGATGCTTCTTGTCACCTCACATCTCTCCTATAGACTGACAGAGTTGAGGTTGTTCAGCCTAGAGAATTGAAGGCTCCAGGGAGACCTTAGAGCCCCTTCCAGCGCCTAAAGGAGCTACAGGACACCTAGAGAGGAACTTTTTACAAAGGCATGTAGTAACAAGAAAAGGGGCTTAAAACTGGTAGATTAGATCTTAGGAAGAGATTCTTCCCTGTGAGGGTCACAAGGCACTGGGAAGCTGTGACTGCCCCATCCCTGGAAGCTTTTGAGGCCAGGCTGGATGAGGCTCTGAGCAACCTTGTCTAGTGGAAAGTGTCCTTGCCCACGGCAGGGGTTGAAACTAGATACTCTTTAAGGTCCCCTCCAACCCTACTCATTCTGTGATTCCAAAATTCTAATGGACTTGCAGAGGTGAGCTGAAACTTGCTAAATCTTTCATGTAAGAAGTATGTCTTATAGATAATGAGACCTCTGGGGTGTATCTTGTTTCCTAACACAATATTTTGGAACAACTGGATCCTGTAGGCACTGTCTCTGAAAGATGGTTGAATGGTTTGGGGCAGTTGTATATGTTTCATATGATGGTTCCAGCAGTTATTAAAAACAGGCTTTGCCATGGGACTTGCCCTGGCTATAGAAAAGACACTCTGAAGCTTCAGAGCAAGCAGATACTGGTTTGGGAAAGGCTAGTTTTTCCTGTTCACTCCCTCTCACAGTGGTCAGTTGGCAGATGTCCAAAGGTTCCTGAGTTACTTGAAAAATTGATGGAAATATGGAGAGGAAAGGATTTCAGGCCCCTGAGGATACAGCATGATATGCACACCTCTGCAGAGGGAACATCCCTACACCCCTGCTGTAGCACCCAGAGCCCACTGCCCCATAGCCCAGCTGTGCCTGCCCTCCCCATGCCCAGGCATTGCTACTTTCTGTCACCACCATCAGGATGGTTCCAGCAAGACTGTGGGTACCTGAGGCTCCTGTCCTGGCTGTAGTCGGACTGTGGCTGCCTTTCGCTGCTGTCAGTTGGCATCTGTGCAGCCACTGTAATGGGGTGTGTTTGTGAAAACACCATGGGGTTGTTGTAGAGGGGCACTGAAATGCTTGCCTGCCCTGGCAGACACGTTTGCTGGCCTTGACTTCCTCTCATTAGGTGCTGCTGCTGCTGCTGTACCTGAAATGAAGACATAGATACTCACGTAAGTTTTAAAGCTCCTTAACAGAAGGCTGAAATAACTAACTGCTTCTAGTATGCTGATGGGAAACAGATAAGGAACAATAGGATACTCTCCCTGAACGCAGCAGTAAGAACTGTATATCTGTTCAGGACAACCAACCTGTTGGCATTCATTGCCCCTGCAGGGTAGGTGCTGGCAGAGGCAGACAGTCCCTTGAGAAATCAGAGTACAAGGGTGAGGGCACAAAGGGCTTGAGGGGAAGAGAACAGCTAAGAGAGAAAGTGTAAATCTGAAGTCCCCAAGGAAAGCATCTCATCCATCCTTTAAAGCAGCAGTTTTGGCTTTTTTTGCTTTTGAGCAACTCAAGTCTTTCCTGAGAAGTGACTAATCTCAACAGTGGATTTAGGTCTAGTGATGACAAACTTGTTTTTCGAAGCTGCCTTCCAAGACTCCTCAGGCAGAAGACATTGAACCTTTTAAAATGATGCCTACTTCTCTGTGTTACAAAGCCACAACTCTCACTGGCTAGAAATGAGCATCATGTTGCAATTACAAACAGAAGCAACTAAGAGCCCAGACCTCCCATTCAGTTCCTCCCTGGTCACCAGGATGGCTCCAGCAGTCCCCAGTGTTTGAATGCTTTTTGGCTATCTGGCTTTTATTTTTACAGCTGAATGACATCATTCACAACTGATCTTGACACAAATTCTGTAATGCCAGATACGCAGTAAAACCAGCACAAAGGAGATGCATGGGACCACGGGAAGGAGGGACACAGCAGACAAGTTTTAAGAGCCATGCAAGGGGGTGACAGAGATGACGAGGCAGCCAGCGACCTGGGTGGCTGTGCTGCAGGGGTCCCTGAGGAACTGGCGTGGTGATGGCAGGTGGGTGCTGCAGTAGTGCTTCGTCCCCATAAGGCCTGACTGTTGTGACTTCTTGGCTGTGGTCTGCCTGGGCGTCCCCTGCGGTGGTGGCCTCCGGGGGCTCGGGTGCTGCACGTTGTTAAAGACGACAGGGATCGGCTGCTGCATCAGCATCTTTAAGTAAAAGAGGCACATAAATTGTGGGTTGTACTGCCTGGGAGAAATAACACTGCAGCAGCAGCAGCATCTCGAAATCCAGGGGCAAAACGAATCATGAGTAATAGAAAATCAAATGTTTGCTTGCGCCAAATATTTATTCAGAGCCATGACTGTTCCAGCTCCATTGTGCCATCTGTGTTTTGCAGGAGTGGCACTGGGGATCCAGCAGCACTAACCAGCCAAGGTTTCTGTGCAGGGAGGACTTTGGATTAGCTTGGGATTGCTTCTTTCCAAATCATGAAAGTTACTGATTCAGTACTTAGCCAGGTATTGATGTCACTCATCTCTCAGGAGACACCACTCTCATGTCTGAAACCAAACTACCAATTTGTCCAGAGCTCATTTCTGAATGCTTTGGCCACAGACAATTTTGTTACTGATCTGTGTGCTCAAAGGAAATGCAAATGGTTGGTGAGTTTGGGAGACCTGGGGGCAGCAGTTACCTGCAGGTTGGAGTCCTGCACTAGCTGGAGCTGCTCCTTGATGACATGGAGCTCTTCCTGCTGTGTCTTGATGTCAGCTTGCAGTACACGAGTCCTCTCCTCCAGCTGCTCCTTCAGCTGATGCATCATCCCCAGCTGGGTTGGGAAATGGTACACTGGCTGCAGAGAACAGAGAAAAAGGATCACAGGGTAGAACTGCCACTGTAATTCTAGGGCAGCAGCACACCTGGCTCACATTCAGTGCCTCCCTCCAGGTGTTGGTCTGTTAAATTTCTGCACAGATAGTGTCTGTACATGAGACTCCCCTGCTCCCCCAGGGTAATGCCTTGCTGGTTTTGGGACACTGGTGTTCTGTGGCAGACACTGCATCCAAACCCTTGCCACACCTCCTGGCTGGGCTTTCAGTTGTGCTGCTAATTATATTTGCCAAAAGCCAGGCCCAAGTTAGGCTGCAATCCCACCTGGGGATCCATCCTTCACACCTACACTGACCATCTTCAATTCCTGTTTTAAAGTCTGAACATTTACCACACTGACATCAAAGCTCTGTGAGGACAGATCTCATCATTATGGTTTATGACTCTCACATTTTTCTTGTGGTTTTTTCTTTCTTTTCCTGGCCTAATTTAAACCTTTCATGGCATCCCCTTCCTCTCCCAGGGAAATAAAACTCTTCAGCACCGTATCAGCCTGTAGTTATCTGCCAGAGATTCAGGAAGGAGCCTTCAGCAGCTTCCAATGCTTTTGACAAGTCTAAACCTTCTTCTACTCTATTTCTTTGGGTGTCCTACCTGCTCTGTCTGTTGAAACAAGGAGTTGAAATAATCTGGTTGCAGGTAAATCTCAGTAGCAGCAACAGAAAGGGCAAGGAAACCTTGTCCCCACACCGGGATGAGCGAGCAAGGAGGTGAGGGCAGTGAAGCACAGCCACCAAGGCTGCCCCCACTCACTGCCCACACCAGTGTGCTTAACAAAAATAAACCACGTACCATTACAGGGTGCTGGGAGGGCACTGCTGGCTGAGCCACGGGGTGCTGAGGGAGGTGTTCACCAGGGGCCTGCGGAGAGGTTATGGCCTAGAAATGAAAACTTTGCCTTACTATAGGTCCATAGCAGCTCTGGTGCAAAGCTGGTACTGTACCAGCTGATACCAGGGATGCACAAGTACAGGGAATTAGACAACTCCGTGTGGAAATCTGAGGATGAGTCTGAACGGAGAATTTAAGCTCCTGCATGCCCCTACAAATTGCAAGCCCTTGGTTTCAGCATGCATTTTGGATAAAAGCCATTTCATGTGCACAAACCCCAAGAAAAGCAGGCTGGTGGTATGAAAAGGCATCTGGCCTGGAGGAGCAAACTGAATCCTGAAAGGAAGCAGCAGAAGAGCCTCTAGCATCTCTCCACCGGCTCTGCCAGTCAGTGGCACTCCCCACAGCACTGGGAAATCCCAGCACACTAGAGTGGGGGATCTAGCATCTCAGATCAAGGTTTGTGGAGCTTATTTCTTTACAGCCTCAGAAAGGCTTTTGCTTGCCAGGACCACCGACCTGAGCACTTCTGACTGATATTAGACGCAGGGCTGCCTTCTCTGCCTGACCCGACGGCCGGGTGGGAGTGCTGGTGTCCGTGAGTCGCATGGAAGATGTGGCTGGAAAAGAGACAGTTCACTGTGATACAGCAGACTCGTGCCTGGGTACCCTGGCTAAGCCTGAACTCTGTGTACACAGACGAGCAGTGATGCAAACACTGCCAAACTGGGTCGCCAAACTGCCCCTCCATGGTCCCTCTGGGTCCCCTCCTGACTCACTGGGTTCCCTTCTGACGCTAGCCCCCTGTTTCAGCCTGCCCTCCATGAGTGCCTCCAGAAGGGATTCCCACTCTCCCCATGACAAGTATCTCAAGAAAACCCCCTTGACTCAGCTCCTGCCGGTGGCCCTGCACAGGCACTGCGGTCACCTTGCTGCTGCCCCCAGGAGGAGGCACTCATGGGGGCTGGGGTGAAGCTGCCAGCAAGGCAGGCATCCTTCTGTGCTCCTTCTGCAGGGATTTAGCATCAGAGACCCCATAATAAAATTATATTACCCCAAAATAAAAGTTTTTTCAGTGAGGTTCAGGGCTCAATCAAGCTAGCGAGTCACCTGCCCCCTGAGCCACAGCAAACAGCCAGGACCCTCAGCTGTGACAAACTAGGGGAAAGCTGTTCTCACACTGGCAGTGGGCTGAGACGGAGGAGGCAGCACGTGGCTGTGGCTCTGTCGCTGCCCTGTAACTTCTTATGACAAGGTATGTCGGTGCCAGTGCTGAGCATTCGCCTCCCACCCCAACTCAGTTACTTCCAGCCGATCCCCAGTGCTGTGCCCCCCGCGCGGGCACCTACACGTGGAGTCGGAGAGGGCAGTGTGCGAGGAGTGCCGGGAGCTGTGGGATGACAGCGACACTCCCTCCCGGCTGGCATCCTGGCTGCTGCCGCACTGCCCCACGTCCAGGTAGCTGCCGTGGCTCTGCGGGGAGCGAAGCACAAGCGGTGAGATGGTCAGCTGGAGGGCACCCCCACCTCCCCGACCCCTTGTTCGCAGAGCACAACAACAGGCTGGGTGGGCAGCACTACGCCACCAAACTCTGCTCCTCTGTGTTCACCCTAAAGCCTCCAGGACGCTCAGAATCATTCCCGAGGCACATCGGTTTGGGGTGATGCCTGGGACACCCACGTGATGGCAGCAAGCAACGTGCCCATGCGAATGCCCCTGCCCTGCCACCCTCCTGCCCATGGAGCTGTGGGCAAAAGGAAATAAGCTTTTATAGTCAGCTTCTTTCTGCCTGATTTCTTCAGGGATCTCACAACTGCTTGGCTGTGCCACGCTGGGGAGTGGAATGAATAAAGGTGGCAGATGGGCTGGCTGGGAAGTGGTTTTATCCATTGCAGAGATGGAGAGAGACAGCTGGGAAGGGACATGGAGCAGTGGATTGGGTAATAGCTGCAGCCCTAGGAGAACCTAGAGCAGACCTCTCCTGTGCGGGACAGGTGATGCCGAGAGCTGCAAATCCGCTCGCTGCACCCTGGGGAGCAGTGGCTCCCAGCAGGAACTGGGACCACATCCACAGAGGGGGACAGCCTGAGATCCCATAAAATAATGTCTGAAGAGCAATAAGGCTAATGGAATGATAACTACACAACAATCCACCTGAAGTTGCTTTGATTACTGGTCTAAGCTGTAAACTATTGAGAGGAAGAACTTAAAATGACCTTGCTAATTGGGCAGATGTGTTGAGATGTCAGACTGATACAAGCCATTGAAGTTACTGCTCTGGTCACAATCCTACACTTGATGCAAGCCAGCTCAATGGTGTAAACAGAGCTGAAATTCAGAATAAGTGTCTTCTCTTCACTTACAACCTTCATCTGAGTGTCAGTAATGAGCTGGTACTAGAAAAACAGGCACCCGGTGGTAGTGTCCCGCACTCAGATCCCCTGCACCTTACTAAGGGTGACAGGTACAGCAATCTAGCCTCTGGCTCCAGCTCTGCTTTTCTGCTTCTGAGCTGAGATGGTTTAACCTATTCCTAATGGTCTCAGAAAGATAAGAAGGAGCAGAACAGAGCAATGCAACTGCTGAATTTGCAGGTCTCATGGAATCAGAGAATGGTTTGAGTTGAAAGGGCCCTTAAAGACCTAAAGTTCTAACCTCCCTGCCTCGGGCAGGGATGTCTTCCACTAGACCAGGTTGCTCAAAGCCCATCCAGCCGGGGCTGAACCAAGATGGGTGATCTGAGCCATGTGGAGGACAAGTTCTCAGGGCCTGCCTGAGTCATAAGCCAACTGAAGGCTTGGAAGGAGGTGGGAGTAAAGAAGAAAGTGAAGAAAGAAGAAATATTTTCCTAAGATTGGTAAGCAATTACTGAGCTTGGTTTAAACACCTTCTCATTCATCTGTGAAGGGACATGGTACCTTTAGAGAAGAGGATGCCAGTTCAATTGATGACTCTTCAAGGCCAAGATCTCGTCTTCTCTCAGCTCTAACTTCTGCATAACTAAAAAAACCAAGCAAAATTCATTTAAAATCCAGGTTTTCAGTCTACATATTGTTTGCTGTATGGTAACTATCCTACCATACAGATCACTATGGGGTATTCATGTTGTCCTAAGCTTTGCACAGCACACACACACTCTCTCAAGGAGCAAAGAGGAACACCATCATATAGCCACTCAATCTGTAACTCCACAGATCAGAAACAACAGGGCAGTGTCCCATCCCCCTGTGCCCAGGACTGCAGAGTCTGTAGGATTAATTGAACTAATCATTCCAAGTACAAAAATAGACACTCCTTTGCAAATTTTGGCCCTGAATATCCTCAAGCAAAACTAATCTAACAGTGAAGTGCACTTGGTTATTGAAGACAAAATGGGTGTCTTTGACCTCAGTACAATTTTCCTAAAAAGGGAGATTCCCATTTCCCATAATCAGGCAGAATAATGATCCTACAGCTTCTGTGCAGGTAAACTGCCAGGACAAGTGTACATTCATTTGCTAACCTGAAGATGATCAAGAATCAACTTTTTGCATGTGGTAGGTAGTTCAGTGATCCCTAGGCCAGAGCCTTGGGGAGAAGGAGCTCAGGTCCTTCTCTCTGAGGGTGCACACAATGTGCTGCACCAGAGTTAACACCCCACAGTCCAATGGAAGCTCCAAATACAAACCAGCACCTGCCCAGGCGCAATGCAAAGTGCAGGAATCCATAGGAATGTGCCTCTAAAAGTGTGTATTTTCTTTCCTTACTTTTTTTTTCTCTTAAAATATTTACAGTAAACAGCATCACATGATTCACCACTAGGATAAGTTTACTAGTGTTTTATTTCCAGATGTTTGACAAGAAAAAGGGGGGGGGGTGACACCAGAAAAAAATCACAAATTGATTCCTGACAGTAAAGACACAGTGAGCAGCAAGTTGACTCACGTTAATAGAGCAAACCAGTACATCACTAATTTTTCAATCCCTTCAGTAAATATATTCTCACTTCTAACACAGTCATTTTTGAGATGGCAGTGGTAATCAAGCAGATTCCCCTCCAGAAGGTATCACAGAGTATCCCCACACACACTGCCTTCCAGCATGGGGCTGAACCCAGTACAAGCAGCTTCCCACTAGGGGGGGATCCTGGGCTGGATTTGAGGTGAGGAATAAGGCTATCAAGTCAGCAGCTAACTTCAAGCCATAAATACTTAAAGCTCTGATCAAGAGGTTTTGTAGGAGATATATGATCCCATTTATGCCCATAAAGCTGCCTGATTCTTAACAGCTTTAATCTTTCTACAGCCATGTCATCACTAGGGGAATGTAACAGACTGGTAGACTTGGCCAATGGTGACTTGCAGGCTTTTGGCCTAGTTACTGAAAAAAACCAAGAAGAGTAATGAAAACACATGTTCCCTACCATAATAGTTTTACGGAATTACACACCATCTTAGGGTGTCAGTAGGCACAGCAAATATTTGGTTAACATAAGTAATGGCTGAACACTGAGACATAAGTGTTTAGTTAAGTGTTTGGTGCTTGCTCCTACCTAACTACCAGGTGAGTGCAAACGATGAACTCAGGCTTCGAATTCCACTGATGGTAGGTGATGTAGTAGTGTGTCTGCAGCCATATCCACTGCTGGCCTTTGGTCAGGAACCGATAGTAACAGGACTTTCCTTTTCCAAACTGCATCACTGTAAAACAAAAGAGAGAGCAATTTATAGCAAACAGGAATCTCATGGTGCAAAGACAATTAGAAAAACTATTCAGTCCCACACCTCTCACAGACTGGCAACACTAAAATGGCTCTTGGGCTTTATAAATACGACAGATGATACACAACCACATACTCAGCTTTTGTTTGGGTTCTTTTCTGATGACTTTCAGGAGTGTCCTTTGCTATTTGGAGAACTGGTAGAACTATATAACTAGCTATATTCTTGTAACTTATTCATGCACTCCCCTGACATAAGCATAAGTAACATTAATTGAACAAAGCATTTGCCTCACAAATACATGAGAATACATTTCAAAGACTGAAGGTGTGAAGTCAGAATGCTAATAATGGCACGAAACAATAAGGTAGTCGAGTTTTAGCAGTATAACTGTGAGTTTTCTTCTGAGAGATCACCTAAATACACCAAACCTGGTACATATTATCAGGCTATGTCCAGAAAAATCTCAAGCGCTGTAATAGAACTGGAAAATAATGAGGGGAACTACGTTAAATAACCACATGCTCACTTGAAGTATCCATAATTAATACAAAGTAAAATACAAATGCAGTTTAAGCAAACTCACTTGACTTGACAGTAGGCAAGATGCCTGCCCAGAGTGGTTAACCTGATGAATGGGAGCTTATCGAGACACAGTAACCCAATTGTTTTTACTCACCTGCACACCTTTACTTTGCTAAAGTCCTGAGGACTAACTTCTTTAGTGATCTCATTAACTGTGATGGGCTTTAGATGAAGCACCTAGCAGAGGTCCTCTGGCTAACCTGCAGTGCTGGAGATCCCTCAGTTGCCCTGAAGCAACTTCTCTAAGTCACTTTGCCAGCACCTTACTTTGTTCCCCTGCGCAGTAAAATGAAAAGATCCTTTCCTACAGATGTGCCATACAAATACTCTTTTAATATGCTGGAGGAATCAATGGCCAGCAGAGATGTAGAACATAAATCATCAAACTGATTCTTGCGAATGATCTGACCCACTCTCAATACAGTTTGTCTCTATATCAAACTGCATGCACACATTACCAAAAGGACATTGTCTGGTCAAGTACCTCAATTCTGTTTGAATAGTCTTTCAAGCAAACAGCACTAAGAAGTACTGTACTTGAGGCAATTAAAATACTCCATTAATATTCCCATCTACATGCTTGCTGCACTTAACACAACTTACATCTACCCCTTTCACAGCTTCCTCCATGTGCTCAGCCAGGCACAGTGCTTCCCCAACAGCTGTTGTACCAGTGCTTTGCCTTGACAGGGCACAGAAGCCAGCAGGGAAGTGGAGTAGTGAAATTTGACATTCAGGGAAGCAATTTTCTCCATTCTCTACCAGGTCCTTCAGCACCTCATACGTTTAAGTGGTAGAGGGTATTGGTAGAGACGGGGGTGGTTTGCAACTCAGAGATGAAGCAGCTTGTCTTGCTCCAGCAGGCTCAGGGACTGTGGAGTTTCTTGGTGTCCCTGCATCGTGCTGCTCTGCATCCCAGAGTAATCACAGCATCCCACTTACTCCACTCTCTGGGGTGCCCTTGTTTCCTTTTGACAAAACACTCTCCTTTCAAGTGGAGATAGCAGAGAGACAAAGAGTTTGCCCAACAGGAAACCTCTAAGTAACATTTCCTGGCAAAACATCTGATTACCTAGATGCATTTTACAATGTAGTCGTAAAATGTAGTTACTTTTCATTGCAGTGCTTGGCAATACAAAACCACTGGAGGACTGACTTAATTCTAGTTCAATATCTCAGCCTGAAATCCACCTAATAAAACAGAAAAATCACGGTCTCAAGGATAAAGCATCTCACATCTGGTAGAAACAACACACTGATTAAGAGTAGACCACATCGGCAGACACCTTTTGCCCTTCCTCATATCAGCTCCAGTTT